ACAGGCATGAGGGGAGGGGTTCTGTTCCCAGTTTGCTTCTTCTCAAGCGGGGAGGGGATTGCATCAGGTCTGCTTTTGGTTCGGCTGTGGGAAGTGCCCAGTCACTGAAGGGGAAGGGTCAGACCCCCTTCCAGGAACATTTCAGGAATGAAGGAGTCCTCAGGAGGTCACCCCCGCACCCAAGAAGGAGAAGTCCCTGCTGTACTCTAGATGGCGCCCTCATCTCTGGCTCTGCTCTTTTGCCCTTTGATCAAATCTGGGTTCCCCTGTAAAGGGAAAAGGCCATCAGTGCACACAAAACAGCACTCTCTCAATTTCCCTTTTCTCCACATTTTGAGAGAGGCTGATGCCAGGCATAGAAGTATTTCTATCATGTCGGTAGAGGGCCGATCTCTGTCAGAGCGTTCAACTCTATTTGCTATGACTCTGGTGGCAAGGAGAGATTTTTGTTCAGATGATCAGAATTCCAACAAACGGTAAATTTTTCTTCATGCTGAGAAGTGGAAATTCAATAATACTTTGCCTGGGTTCGTGCTGAGCAGCAAACATGGAATGAATGTAGAGAGGAACCGTGATTTGAGCGCTAAATCAGCCGGCTGGATGTTGACACCACCGGCTTTGATGCTGAAGCACTCTCTTGTCTCTACCCCATTCTCCAGGGTAAGGAGACCGTTTTTATGTTTGTTCCTAGACTGTTTTGTGCTTGCGATCCCTTGTTTACCCTAAGAAACTCCTCGATCTTAAAATCTCCGTTGTTCTGCGGGTCCCTTATGATGCCACCACAGCACCATTTGCTGAATGCCTTCCCATATCAGCCTAACTCAAAAGGCAAAGTTGGAGTGGGTATCCTGGAGCTTGTAGTAATGGAATCACTAATCATGCTCGATCGCTTTTTCTTCTGTAAGCAAGCCACAGGTTTCAGATAGAATGGAAGGCCCCTGAAGGCAAGGATTTCTGTCTGTTTTGTTCATGGGGACATCAGCAGGACACAGTAGGTGCTCTAAGATGCCTATGAATGAATATTACTCTATAGGCTGTCAAATAATATGCAGCTAGGAGCTCTCTGAGATGTTTCTGACTAAGGCCCAGAGTAAACATAGTTTTACTGTCCTTCTATTACGTATGATTTTGTAGAAAAGGCCTGATCTACAATACTGTAGAAGACATTTTAGTAGTATGTTTCTTTGGAAAAAGTTGTGTCACTCAAGCCTGATCATATTAGAAAAATTAGGAAGTATCAATAACCAATAAGAAGTAAAATAACCAAGTTTACATTACTCATAGGTAATCACTGCTATGGTTTAAATGTATGTTCTTACAGAGTTTCCTGTGCATAACATTTATATGTTTTTATAGTAATAAGGTTAGATCATCTATACTGCTTTTTCATTTGCATGTACCTTCATTTTTATTAATAGACATCTAAATCATTTTCACATAGTGCCCCAGTAGGATATTTAATTCCCTGTGATTGCACATTGAAGTTGCTTCTAATCTCCTTGATCATAAACGCCATGCATTTCCCCGTTATTGGATTAGATGGATACAGCTGGTTTCTCTCTTGTGTAATGGAGGTATCCCTCCTAGGGGTGTCGAACTCAATCAGAGAGGGTGCCAAAATCTAAAATCCAGCCTAAATCTCGGGCCGAATGGTTTACTAAAAAGTCATAGACTGTCTATGTGATGGAAACGCAGCGGAGTGCAGTGATGACAGCGCGGTGCGGGCCACATTGCAAGGCCTGGCGGGACGGATTTGGCCCGCGGGCCTTGTGTTTGACACATGTACCTCAGTCTTACTCCTGCAAGCGACCTGTCCATCACACTCCTGCTGGCCATTCTGTGGGAGCAGAGTCACCACAGAGAGAACTCGAGTTCCAGGCAATGACTCAGCATCTCTGTTCCACCACACCTTTCACCTCCTTATTACACCTCACCTGATCCTGATGATCACTTAACCAGGTTTCACCTTGATTCACCTTCACATTGTCTCCAGCAGGAGCAGGAAGGGGAAGAGGCGGGGCAGAGGTGGGGATATAGCGGAGTGGAGCCGAGGGAGGAGTATCCATTACCTTCTTCTGCGTGCAGATCTGCAGGTCAGCAGGTCAGACGGTGTGCTTTTCTTATTATCCACTCTCCACCCTTTATTCAGATTTCCTTGGTTGTTACCTAGTGTCTTTCTTCAGTTCCAGGGTCCCACCCAGGATAACACCTGGCATTTAGTCACACGTTTCCTGAGGTGCCTTTTGGTTTCCAGTTTCTCCGCCTTCCCTTGTTTTGGGTGACTTGGATAGTTTTGGGGGATATCTGTCAGGTATTTTGTAGAATGTCCCTCACCTGTGACTCATCTGATGCTTTTTTGTTGTTAGAATGGAATTATGTATTTTGGGGAGGAAGACCACAGAGGTAAAGTGCTATTTTCATTACACAATTTGCATTTTCATCCCATAAAATAAGGCTGTATACTACCAACACTGCTTATCACTGTTAGTGTCAACTTCGGTTTCCTGGAGGAGGGGGTGTTTGTTAGATTTCTTCTCTGTAAGGTTACTCTTGGGCCCCTTCCCAGCCTGTACTCCAGCCCACACTAAAGACTCCTTCTCCGTGAGGGAGGTTCATCAACAGGACTTATTTGGAACTCTTTTGCCTGAAAAGTGTGTCTACTCTCCCAAAATTATTTATTTATTCCAGTATGTAGTTATCTCGGTATAAAGCCGTGGATGTTTATTTTATACTTTGGGTTAAAATTCCACACTGCTGTGTTTATTTTGATGGTCAAATCATTCCAACTTTGGTCATTTGGGAGCTCTTTCATTTTTGGGGGGACCCTTTGTCCTGTCTTTCCTTGTATTTTGTTTGTTTTTTTGTACTTTCTTACTTTTCTGCCACTACAAGATGCTCCAGGTTCATCTTGTTCTCTAGTCTCAGAACCAGCCATTTCCACAAGGAAACCTGGATCCATTCATTGGAGAAGAGTATTAGAAGCCACGGTCTGGGTACTAGGAGTATTTGTTGCTACTGAGACTTCTAGGCTTGTAGCTTCTAGAACTTTTCAGCTAATAGACCAAGAAAATGTGTGTTTATGTGTCCACCTATATCTACAGTAAGTGAAACTTGAATTCGTACAGCCACTTGGACCATTCTGACCCTTCCACTTATTTGTATATTCTTCTCCAGCAGGAGAAGCCTGGCTCTCACCAGCCATTATTCACATGCATGGTTGTTCAGTTCCCGTAGACCAGTGGTCGGCAGACTGAGGCTCGAGAGCCACATGAGGCTCTTTGGCCCCTTGAGTTTTTAGCAAATGCCAGCTTAGGAGTACCCTAATTAAGTTAATAACAATGTACCTACCTATATAGTTTAAGTTTAAAAAATTTGGCTCTCAAAAGAAATTTCAATAGTTGTACTGTTGATATTTGGCTCTGTTGACAATAACTTTGTCAACCACTGCCGTAGACCCATAGGGTAGTGTTGGAATTGTTAACTAGTACTCCCAACAATACTGTCTTCCCATATACAGTACTTGTTTGCAGCCTTGCTGGGCTTTAGTCTAACGGAATACACTCATATCCAATTCTTTAGGTGAGTGCCTTTTGCTACACTCTATTTAATGTTTCCCACATTCGTAATGCCATTAGATTGTTTTGTTACATCCTGCATTTCATTCTGTGATTCCTAACCTCCGAAATCATTTTTAAAATTTGCATCCATTAAGGTTCACACCATGTGCTGCAGTGTGTTCTGGATTTTGATGTATCCATCTCCACAGTACCATTCGGAATAGTTTTGCTGCCCTACAACCCCCCTCCTCCCTTTGAACTCCCCTCCTCCCTTTGAACCCCTGGCCGTCCCTGATCCTTTGATCATTTCTATTGTTTTGCCCTTTCAGGCATGTCCTCTAAGTGGAATCATTCAGTTTGTAGCCTCCTCAAACTGGCGGCTTTCACTTAGATAAATCTTCTATGTGTAATGAATGCTAAGTCTTCACACGACTTGACTGCTCTTTGCTTTTAACCACTGAATGACACTCCCTGTTATGAAATGTTCTGCAATTTGTTTCTTCATTTAACTATTGAGGGGCTTTTTGGTTGCTTTTAATCTTTGGCAATTATGAATAAACTTCTGTAAAATGCATGTTTAGTTTTACATGTTTAGGTACCTAGATAGGTACCCAATGGACATAAGTTTTCAAGTCCATTGGGTACCTATCTAGGAGCACAACTGCTGGATCACAGGGTATGACTATGACCGGCTTCCTAAGAAACTGTCGCACTGTCTCCCAAAGTGGCCGCACCATTCTGCGTTCCCACCAGCAACAGTGAGAGCTCCCTCACCAGCAATGAGCATCATCAGATTTTTTAAATTTTTATTTGATCTATTCATATCGGTGTGTAGTATATGTATCACCATTGTTGTGTTAATATACTTTTATTGATTTCAAAGAGAAAGGGGAAGGGGGAGAGAGATAGAAACATCAGTAATGAGAGAATCATTGATTGGCTTCCTCTTGCATGTCCCCGCTGGGGATCAAGCCCACAACCCAGGCATGTGCCCTTGACTGGAATCGAACCTAGGACCCTTCAGTCTGCAGGTGGACGCTCTATCCACTGAGCCAAATGGGCTAAGCCTTTCACCATTGTTTTCATTTGCAAATCCCCAGTGACAAAAATTGTTGAACATCTTACCCTTTGCTTTTTTGCTATGTGTATATCTTCTTTGGTAAGGGTTCTGTTAATGCCTTCTTTGGTAAGGCATCTTTGGTTCGGTTGGATACGTGAGCTTACATATTTTTTTGCAAAATGTTCTCAAGGCTGCACTTTGTATTAGCAGCTCATGATTGCCTGCCACTTCACAACCCCAAAAGCTAAGTGCTGGTTGATGACATGGCTCAGCTCACTTCCGTTTGCCTTGCTCTTCCCCAAAGTGACCCCCCTGCACCCTCTCTCTTCCTGACCCCCATTCTTCATTAGGAAAGAACTTGACATCTGGGCTCATCACTGTTTATCTCTGGGAATTTGTCTTTATTTAAAGTGAGTGGCCAAGGTGATGATATGCTTATTCATCTGTCCGATTCATCTATCTCCCTCAGACTCCAGGGAGAGTTTAGCTCTGTTTGTTTCTTGGTTTTGAAGACAGCAAACAGGTCTCGGGCTGAGGAGCTTGCTGGGGCCTCGCTGAGCTAACAGCTGTCTGTCCTTCCTTTGTATGGCCGCCAGTGATCAAGCCTCCGCTGCGCCACTTCAAACGCCCCGCTTATGCATCCAGCTCCTATGCACCGTCGGTCCCCAAGAAAACGGACGAGCACCCTGCAAGGTACAAGATGCTGGATCAGAGGATCAAACTGAAAAAGATTCAGAACATCTCCCATAACTGGAACAGGAAATAGGTCAAGGGGAAGGGAGGGGGTGGCGGAGGGGCCCAGTCTCTGCCTCTCAGCACTCACCAGCCACCAGGTATACCTCCAAAGGGCTGCTGGGGGGGGTGGGGGGGCGTCGGCGAAATCCATCATGGCTGAGCCCACCAGGGCAAAGAGGAGCTGTGTGCGATTTTCCCTTCACTCTTCTGCTATAAACTCATCAGTTAGCCCACCAGGGCAAAGAGGAGCTGTGTGCGATTTTCCCTTCACTCTTCTGCTATAAACTCATCAGTTGCTAGATATTTGGGGGTCAATGCAGACCTTCCAGCAAACCAGTAAGCTGGTTGTCTCGTGGTTTTTATTGCTCTAAATCTTTCAAAGTCTAAATTGGACTAAAATGAACATGATGCAACCTATTTAGAAAAAAATAAAATTCTTCCTCTTGATACTATTTTTATCCCCGGAAGTTGACTTGTTCCACTAATACTATTGGTTAGTAATCATCGTATCTCAGAACTGCACTTCTAAAGCCATTTTTTCCTCGATTTTAAATGCAATGTTTAAAATTCAAATAAACATGTCCCTGTCCAAGTAGAGGCACTCCAAACAAAAGTTGGGCTCCTGAATGGAAGCAGTCTTAGTGGGAAAAGAAGACTTAGGAATTGTGTGTTCATAGATATTTCTGAACTTGGGCTTTCTGAGCAGATCCAGGTTCAAAGTAAAGACCCTTGTTTTGGTTCCCATTGCGTGCCTCAGGCCTAATAGACTCCTGTACGGCTGTGAGGGTTTGCAGGAGAAGGCAGATGACCCTGAACTTCACTCTCAGCAGACAGTGCTAGGAAGCAATGAGGTGCCCAGGCTCAGGGAGTGCAGGTTTGAAACCTACTCCAGGATGTGCCCTTTGGTCCTGTGGTCCGGGGGCAGGAGGGTGTAAAATGCTGAAGCCAATGGGAATTCCTTAATTGCACATTTGTCTCCGTAAGGTTGAAAATGCCTTTAAGTTAAATTTCAGATCATCTTCCTCACAGACCACATCCTAACAGACCACATCGGTGAGTCCTTTGGGAGTCAAATGCTCTCACAGGCGTTGGTAGAACGGAAGTCTGCACCCCCTTCTCATTGTGGTGGCATTTTTAGCCCAATTGGGTCTCTCAGAGAGTTTAGTTGTTGTTAATCCTCACCTGAAGATACCTTTTCCATTGATTTTTAAAGAGCGTAGAAGGGAGGGATGGAGGGGAGAGAGAGAGAGACGTCGATGTGAGAGAGACGTCGATGTGAGAAGAGACATGGATCAGTTGACTTCCATACTGGCCCTGATAACCCAGGTACATGCCCTTGACCCTTTGGTGTGCACACTGTCACTCTAACCACTGAACCACACCGAGAAGGGATCTCCTAGAGCTTTTAGTTTGGCATTAAATTCACAGAAATTGTAAGGAAAGGTTCAAGGCCAAACACAGCTTTCGACCCCTTCAGAAAGTCTGATGAGGGACACATCAGGCTCACTGCCAGGCAGCTCTGATCGCCAGTCCTGTCTGTGCTGGTTTCAGGTCCTTGAGCTAATGAAATAATCAAGCCGCAGTTTGTTTACGTAGACAGTGGGATTCATAATGTCTGCTGTGCCTTTGGTGACGAGGATGAAAGAAAAGGGAAGTTCTGCTGTAGCTACAGCCTGGCTAGGGACAGGGCCACAACAGGTATAGCGATGAGGATGCCACAGCCAGAAAAATATCTCCAGGACCACCCCTCCACCCCCCAAAAGAAGGAGCTGTGCCTGATGCCACACCCTCTGGGGTCTGATTGTAAAGGGTTTCAGGGCCTCTCCTTCCATTCTTTGAAGTTCATTTCTAATAAAATGGCTTATGCAATTGAGCCAGTTAAAGAATTTAGTGCCCATCAAGCTACTAAGCAATTTATTTAAAACTAGAGGCATGAAATTCATGCACTGGGGGAGGGTGGTCCTTCAGCCTCGCTTACGCCCTCTTACAGTCTGGGAGCCCTGTGATTGATCACCCCACAGAGGGAGGCCCCTCTCACCACTGCCAGCTGGATAGCCTGGGCCCCCTCTGCAGGGTGATCGTGGGGCGATGGTGGGGCCCCCTGACCAACTGCATTGCACCAGCCTTGGCAGCGGCAGTCAGTGCTAGGTTGCCACAGTGCCCGTGACCCAGGAGGGACCGAGAGGTTAGCAGTTCAGCCACTCGCTAGTCCCCATCCATCTGAGCCTGCTGTTCGCGCAGCCTGGCATTCAGTTGTCCATTAGTTCGTTTTGGATGTTATGGACCCTGGCTCTTTATATAGTAGGATACGCTTTGTGGTAGTATTTCATGGAAATTTAATTACTAGACAAAAAGGAAACACTTTGTTAGGGAAGCAATTGTAATTCTTAGCTCCCAGCATGGTGCCTGATCAAGAGGACCCTTCTGCAGGCTGGTGGTCCCTATTCCACCTAACTTAGATTAACCCAACAGGTCACTTCTACTTGTTTGTAGACAGGAGCCTTCATGCTTGCTGCACACAGCCACTTGGCCACACAGTGAACCTTCCCATGGGGTAGTGGCTTCCTTACTATCCAATGCTATTGTGGATAAAAAGGGGCAGTGTAAAAGGTAGCCTAGAGTAACCTCCTAGGGTGATCTGATCATACATTCCTACTGGGCAGGTCATGGTGGATAGTCATGCCACAGGCATGTAATTTCTTTAGGGAAAGGTTTATGTCTGCCTTAAGCAAGCCCTGTCCATTGTTTCTGTGCATCTAAGTTAACACGCCTCTGAAATGCCTCTTTTCTGGACCCCTCTGAGCATAACCACCCCCAAGGATGCACACGATCTTGTTATCTGTCCTGTAATCCAATCCTTGCCTTGTTTTCTTCCACATCCATGTAATCTTCCTTACCTTCCCCCTTCGTTCCAAAGGCATGAACAGACTCCACACAGTCTTTTCTGGGAAGTGTTTTTCTAAGTCTGTTGAGGTCTTGCTTCCAGGCATACACTTTGTTTGGTTCAAATAAATGCTAATAAACTCCTATAAGATTTAAAAAAAGTAAATGTCAACATAAGAACGTCCAAGCCTGCAGGATATTTTTATGAGTTCTTACATCACTGGGATCAACCCCTGATGATGTTCCTCATTTAACCCAATACCTCCAGGGTCAGGTAGAGAGGTCAAAGTGGCTGTGCCTTCTTGACTGTTCCTGACATTAAAAGCCATGATCTTGGCAGAGAAAATTAGCTCCCTCTGTATTCTTTGGTCCCAAGATGTTATTTCAACCTTTGCTAATGTTTTCATTGAGCAGATGCCCAGATATTGAGATTCTGCATTGCTTGTAAAATGTCTACTATGTTAATTGCATGATGCGTTGTATAGAAATGCCAAATTATGTATATTCTTTTAGCAAATAAAGATGCTTTTAAAGGACTTCCTTATATGTGAATTATTCTTTTCTTCTCATTGGGAAAGAGAGTTCCCCTGTGCTTGGCACCCCTGAATATCTTGTCATGAGGAATAGTATAATTTTCCCTTTTCAATTTGCTTCCTGATTGTGTAGGCAATAGCTTTAAATTATCTACACCACAAAACCAATAAATTAATTAATATTGAGTAACCTATAATAGCAGCTACTCCAAAGGTAAAACACCTGTGTTATCAACTAAGCGTATCATTCCAGGTTAAGCTGTATACCTAGTGGTTAAGTACTTGGATTGTGGGGTTAGAAAAACTTATAATTAAATATGGACTCTTGTCCTTTATTTGCAATATGAGCTTTACCAGGTTTTGTAATCTCTGAATTTTAGCTTCCTCAGCTGTAAAATGGGATAATAATAGAACCTAACAACATAACATTACAGGCCAAGCATATACTAAGGACTCAACAAAATCAGCAATTATTTCTTGGAGTGTAGTATAAAGAAGTTAGGATTTTTAGTTAGGCCCCTAGTTGTGTGACATTAGGTAAGTTGTTAATATTCTTCAACCTCAGTAAAAAAAAAAATTTTAATTTAATGACCTATTACCCACCAGGCTGTCCCCCATAGGCATTGATTTCTGTGTCACACTGCATTTTAACCTTTAATATACATTGCTACATTCAGTAGGAAACCTGGTGTCCCCACCTCAATGTTCCCTTCACCGGGGTCCCTGGTCTTGGAGTTCTTGGGCCTCCATCAATTATCTGTTCCAGCTATTCTGAATTCCTGAGCTCCCTGCTTCTTATTTCCTACAACTGCTGCTCTTCATTCTATTCTTAAAAAAAAAAAAAAAATACACACACACACACACACACACACACACACACACACACACTAGTGGCCTGGTGCATGAAATCAGTGTGTGTGTGTGTGTGTGTCAGCCCTTCCTGCACCCTCTCCAATCTGGGATCCCTCGAGAGTCATCCGTTTTGCAATCCAGGATTGCTGGCTCCTAACCACTCGCCTGCCTGATTGCCCCTAACCACTCTACCTGCTGCCCTGCTCACCCCCAACTGTCCCCACCCTGCCAGCCTTCTCACCCCCAACTGCCCCCCCCTTGCCAGTCTGCTTGCCTCAAACTGTTTGCCCCCAAATGCCACCCCTGTAGGTCTACCCACCCTGCCAGAGCTCTGTAATCAATGCTGCGCAGAGGGAGGCCCTGCCCACCAGGCCGGGGTCTGGGAGCAAAGGCAGAGCAGAGGCAGGTGTTTCCCACCCAGCCTGGGCTCCACCACTAATCCCTGCCCACAGGGAAGCCCTGCCCGCCTGGCTGGGGCTTTTTGATGGATTTTTTAATTGATGCAGAGAGGAAGACAGAGAGAGGGAGAGGGAGAGGGAGAGGGAGAGGGAGAGGGAGAGGGAGAGGGAGAGGGAGAGGGAGAGAGAGATAGCAATGATGAGAGAGAATCATTGATCCGCTGCCTCCTGCAGCCCCCACTGGGGATTGAGTCTTCAACCCAGGCCTGTGCACCAATCGGAATCAAATCGTGACCTCTTGGTTCACAGGTTGATGCTCAGCCACTGAGCTACGTCAGCTGGGCTTTCACTCTGTCAAAATTTCAGTTGATACAGAAAAATAAATATTGTTTAAAGATTGCAGTGTCATTATACTTTACTTAAAAAAAAACACCAAAAACAAACAAACAAAAAAGACTTCCTAGAGAAGAAAGAAACACAGCTCCAAGCCTCACCCTTACAAGTGGGTCACTTACCTACGTCATTCTGTCCCACAAACATCTACCTGTGCAAGTTCCCAATGGCCCAGAATTTCGGAAACATACCTGAGTGTGGTGTCATTATTTCCTAAAATAGGCTAGAAATGCTTTGGTTGATGGTGCATCAGAGAACACAATTGAGTCCTCTATCAACAGACTCCCATCTGAAAATAAAAATGGAATGTTAATAAGCCACACGAAATGTGTGCTGATAAAGGGACATCACATGTGGCTCATTTCTGGAAATGAGGTGGAAACCATGCTGAACGGGTGGCACAAGGACTTGGGGGAAGGCACATCCTTAATCATATCGGTTTAATTTGATGAAATCAAGGTTCAGAGTAAATCTATATAGACACACTAATTTCTTAGGCTGCATTGCCCCCTGGTGTCTCTTAGAGGCAATACACATAAGATTAAATAAAAGAGTATCTGTGACATGTTATATATGGAAATAATCTATTTAAAGCACCATTTAATTATATTAATTACCATATAATCACATAATCCTAAATTTCTATTTGTTATCCCTAGTATGCTAACACAGAGGCGCTGGCAGCCTCCATTTCTAAGCCCTTTCCCCTTTTCCTGTTTCATCCAGAGAGATTGGGCAAGTTAACATTCAACTGCAGCCAGGTGACACCGTTTGGGCTGATAAGGGGTAAAGCTCCCCCTTCCCGCTTCTCCTGCCTGGAATGCCCACTCAGCCTGGATGCACAGCAGCTGTTTCAGGTCACGGGGTCATACTGAGCGTGAACATGAGATCCAGCAAGAAAGACCGGGCCCATGTTCCTGGTTACATCACTGAACCACACTTCCCTGGTCTGACTCTTGGGACTCACTATTGATGGGTGAATTTGGGTTTGCTGCCCTCCTGGCCCCTGGCAGCCTTTCTGGAAGTGCTGGAAGCCATGGCCACTGAAACTACTCCAGTGATTTTTTTTCTTTTTATTTTAATCACAAAATTGATGCAGTCTGTTCCTGGGCTTAACCACTCGGGTGGCTTCCCACTGCTTTCAGAACACAGTCTTGGTGACTAGAATAGCCAGGATGCCCTCTGTGGGCTGTGCCTGCCTGGCTCTTGCCTTTGGCCTTGCCCCTTCCCCCCAAGCTCCATGAGCTCCAGCTGCTGGAAATACCATCAGCCCCAACTTTCAAAGCCTCTGCATGCCCCTCCCCTCTGCTTGGTCTGGTTCCACAGAGCCAAGATTGAGAGTGGGGTGGGGCAGGGACCCCACAGCGAGGGGCAGCGCCGGGGGTATGGTCCTGATGTCACAGCCTGGGCAGAGACCTGCAAACACTCTAAGTCAAGGTCAGGGTCCAAGAGGACCAGCAACGCTGCTCAGTAGATGAGAGGGAGGTGAGACGGGGGTCAGAGGGCTCAGGCCCGTACTGTGCCTTGCTCTTGGGTGCCCCTCCACAGGAGGACTCCTGCCAATGCCCCGGGCTTCCCAGCATGACCACCTGCATCCCACTCACTTCCCAGCGCCGTGGCTGCCCAGCTGCATGGCCTCGGATGTGAGATGGAATCCTTCTAGCAGCCACTTCCTTATCAGTTCAAGGCACACAGTAGTAGCCAGAACGATGACATCATCAAATGCATGTAAAATCCATGGCACCTCCTAGAAGTGGCCAGTGCTTGATGAATGGTTATGTATGTTCCCATGGAGACCACGAGTGCCCTCAAAGTGAGAGGACTGTCTCTCTGCCCTGGCGCTGACTTCTGGATGCTCTGGGAAGGCTCTTCTGCCCTCTAACCTCCATAAAGTCTTCCTGAGCTGGCTGATGCCCGTTCATTTTAGGGGGTTCATCTCTGTGCGGGCTCACGGCCTCCCAAGGAGCCAGTGGGTATGCTGCCCTCCGGGCCCCGGGAGGCCTTTCTGGATGAGCTTGGTTCGGGGCAATTAGGATGGCGCCCCTTAGAACACCTCTGTCCTAGCGGTTTGTTTTCAGGCAACACCTGTTTCGAATTAGGTTGTGTTTGTTCCTGCTTCTCCTCCAGGCCCAGGGTTCCCCTTCCTGGCCTGAGGGGCTGAGTGCTTAAAAAGAGGTGTGGACTGATGAACTCCTTGGCCCCAGGGCACCTCCCAGGCCATGGGGTGGAGGCGGTAAGAAACACCAGCCCGATGGGAAAGCAAACACATCTTCATTTGAGCATCTACCATGTTTCCCAGGCTTTCCATGATCTTATTTGATCTACAGAATGGCCCTGGGAGGCAAGCAAGGCTTCAACCTATTCATTCCCCTCAGTAATACCGACCAAGATCAGAGTCGTTCACAATGGTTATTGCAGAAGAAATTGATTAGGTTTCGGCTTGAGACGTACTGTACTTCATTACCATGCATTTAGAAAGGAAATGATAGTTCACATATGATAGGATGAATTCAGATGATTATTTTAGGGGGGTCAGTTTGAAATACAGTAAACCCTCGGTTTTTCACGCCTCATTTTAACAGGCTTCGGATGTAACGAACAGAATGTAAAAATTAACACTGTGTTAATTTAAAAATGCTTATAATCAAGATTTGGTTATAATTAAAATAACAGGTTATTTTTTTTTTTAATTCACTGTTATTTTTAACAAATTTTAGTGAATAGGCCATATGTTGGGGAAAAACACCGTAGTAATTTTGCCGACATAAACACTACATATCTACTACCGTAGTCTATGCACTTAAATCCAAGAGTCACAGCTTGTAAGCAGTGTTCGGCAAATGATTTGCACGTGCTCACACTGCATCTCGCGGTAATTGGTTCTGTTGTCTCCTGCTGTGACCTTCTGGAGTTAAACTGGGGTGAGGCTTAGCCACACCCCAGCTGTGTGTATTTGTTTACTCACCGCGACTGGTGAATGCATGAATTTAGACCTATTCAGTATAAATTTAAAACTATTGTGATACATAAAGAAATCTTTTCTGTGAGATTAAGCTTTTCATACATAATTTTAATTATACAAATAAGTAAAAACAGGTAAACTAACTTGTTAATTTTTAACATACACATTCAGAAAACCTGCTTTATTATCTAACAGACTTTCAGCTTTAATGGACACCCTGTCGCCGGAATTAATTTGTGATACTGAGGTTTTACTGTTCTGAAAAGCCAAAATTTTAATTCTAGGCCTCAAAAAGAACCTTTTATTCCATACAAAAAGGACCAAGCTAGGTGAGAGTGTGGGAGTGTTCATTAATCCCCCCCCCCCCCACTGAAGTTATAGTTAGAGTTAGAGGAGTGGTTAAAATGGATAAATAGTTTATAGTTAGAACATAAGGTCATCCTGGTTCTCTTACACACGCCACACAGATTCTTTTGTGTACCCATCATCTTAAAGCTATTAAGTTTTTATCTTTGAGGAAAATCACTTTACAAAGCAAAAAATACAACTCCACATTGTCTAATGCGGTGGTCGGCAAACTGTGGCTTGCGAGCCACAAGTGGCTTGAGAGCTGCGGTTTGCCGCTCTGTTAACTAATGACATATTAGTCAAAATAATGACATATTCACACAAATCCGAATACGCATCTTTCCAATCAATGCCAAGTATTTCTGGCAACTGCAATGTACAAAAGTCTCCAGCAGGTGGCAGTGGTGTCTAAGAAGAAAAGCTACTCTCCAGGACAGTGGTCCTCAGCAACACACAGAGCAGGCCTGAGCCCTCTGACCATTAACAACCCCCCCCCCCCCCCCCTCGTCTCACCTCCCTCTCAGTGAGCAACTTGGCTGGTCCTCTTGGACCCTGCCCTTGACTTAGAGTGTTTGCAGGTCTCTGCCCAGGCCGTGACATTCCCCCCAGCTCAACCAGCCCAGGACCATACCCGGTGTTGCCCCTTGCTATGGGCCCCCTCTCTCCCCCCCATCTTGGCTCTGTGGAACCAGACTAAGCAGAGGGGAGGGGCATGCAGAGGCTTTGAACGTTGGGGCTGTTGGTATTTCCAGTAGCTGGAGCTCATGGAGCTTGGGTGGGAGGGCGAGAGCCAGGCAGGCACGGCTCATGGAGGGCACCCCGGCTATTCTAGTCACTGAGGCTGTGTTCTGAAAGCTGTGGGAAGCCACCCAAGGGTTTAAGCCCAAGAAGAGACTGTATCAACTTTGTGATAAAAAAAAAATATCACTCGAGTCCTGGCCGGTTTGGCTCGGTGGTTGGAGCCTCAGCCTGCAGACCTAGGGGCCATGGCTTGTTGGGGACCTTCTACTAAGTCAGCAAGTGTGTGTTGAGCCTTCCTCCTCCCCAGGCACCGCCCTAGGTGTGCAGTGGATCCAGGAATCAAGCACGGCCTCCCAGCTTGGGGACCTCAGTTTTAGGGGAGGAAGCATCCTTGTCACTCATTCAAGCTGCTCTTGGAAAATAAACCCCGTCCTTGTGCCCTGCAGTGGGAATGCATAGCGGTACAGCTGCTGTGGGAAACAGCAGCAGAGAAAGAAGACGACCTCACATAGCCTGCTGGGTCAGAAGACCGAAGGGCTGGGTATGAAAATGCCGGGAGATTGGCTAGGGGGAATGAACTAGAGAATTACAGGTGGGCAGGTCACAGGTGGGGAGGCTATGTACCGGACATAGACTAGTGTGGTCCCATCCATGGGGCGGCTTTGAAGGGAGCTACAGAGAGGAATTCAGGTAGGGCATGTGGTGAAACAGCTGCAGTTGATAAAAGCCACAGAACTGTGGGGAAGGAAGGAAGACCCCTGCCTTTCAGATTTGTGGCTTCAAACTGGCAGAAACCAGCTCAATCCAACACGGTGAGTAATTCCACCTCCTGGGACCCCCTTACCTCTTTAGATGCTCATTATAAGCATCAGAAGCTACATGGCACACCAGGGAAGCCAACAGCCCACATAAGGATGCAGAATGGCCGACGGAGCTCCTCCAAGTCCTCTCCACCCCTTTCCGGGATGATTCTGAACTCGCCTCCTCCTCTTCACTGAATGCCCTAACACCCATTTAACAAACCTCAAAACAGGAAGCAAGGCCCACAAAAAACAGGGGGGCTGCTGTCTGTGGGGTAGCTTGCTCTCTTACTGCCTCACTAAGAAACTCACTCTCACTCTGCTGGCTCCTCTTTGAATTCTTTCCTGGGGAAGCCAAGACCACACAATGGGTCCCACCCTTCTCCCCGCCCCGCCCCGCCCCGCCCCTTCTTAGAATGCCTGCATCAGAATGACTCAGCTGTTTGCACTTGAATGCAGGTGGGGGTAGGTGGGAGGCAGGCAGGGAGCCCCCTGGAACCCCCAGGACCCCTAAGGAGGGGGAGGAGCCTGAGGATAAGGGCCAGCTAGCCCTTCTCAGAAGCCCTCACCAGTCACTGGCTGGAACCACCTGCTAATACAACTAAGCACAACGCTTGGCGGGGAGAGGGGAGGGAGCAGAGGGGAATGGCCCTTTTCAATGAGCTGGGAGGTGCCAGCCTTCCACCAAGCTAGCCTCTTGCCATAGGGCTGGCCTTGCCCTTGATCTTGCTGGGGTAGGGGTGGGAGTGGAGGGGTGGAGAGCTGGGGAGAGAGGGAGGACACCACTTTTCCTAGGGGAATATTTGCATTATTTCCCCGGAGAGCCTGAGTCTGAGTCTGCTGAAGCAGGGTGTTGATCAGAAGGGCCTGCCCCGCGGAGGAGTGGATGCTGGCAGACAGGATATGCCATCCCAGAGGTGGGCTGCCTTGCAGCAGGCACACACCCATGCAGACGTCCCTGTACCCACTCAGAGACTCCCCTAGAGTGTGGGGCAGGAAGCCAGGCCTGGGAGTGCAGGAGGGGCCTTAGCATTTCATTTCCCTAAGACATGTACCAGGGACAGTCCCCCTTCTCCCCATTCCTCCCCCCCCTCTCCCATCCCGGATCTTTGCTCTCACTTGGTGATTTCATCTTAGAAAGTAGAATTGAGAAGAATTAACGAGGATAATTAGAAAGCATGTGGACAGCATAATTGGCCGCTTATAAGACGGGCATCAAGGCCTTGGAGGAACACCCACCGGAATCGTGCCTGGAGCTGAACAAGGGGCTGTGTGCCTCCTGTGGGGAAGGGGGCACCACGGACAGTTCCGTGTGGGGTGTGGGGGGAAGAGGGTGTGAGAGGACTTTGGTAGGTGATTTGGGGAGGATGTTTAGCAGTAGAGCTTTGCTCTGATTGAATGGTGTCAGGAAGTGACCAGTCTCATCCTGGGGCTTCTGAATAAACCTGCTGGGCAGGAGAGGGGAGGAGGTCTGAGCTGAGGCTGTAGTTGGCGGGGAAACCAGTCACTCCTCCTCTGGACCAGCTGGGGGTGACCTTGTCTTTGGCAGGAAGAACACGTTGGGTGAGTTTGTATGCACCTGCTCCTAGACACACGCAAACATGCCGCTGAGGATTAGTGATGCAGGCTGTGTCCTGAACCCCTCAGGACAAGCCAAATGGCTCTCCTTTTCCTGTGAAATGAGTGTTCATGGCCAATAGGGCTTTTACTGGAGAGGCCGGTCCCGGAGACAAGGCCCTGACCCCTTTAGCTTCTGAGTCTGAAATAACGGTTCCAGCACTCCGAGGAGAAATACTTATACTGTTGGCAACCACGATGATGCTCCTTCTCCAAATCCCCGCACGGAGAGAATGACAGCTTCCTCCCGCTCCGGGTGGTTAGAGCAGAGCGCTGGGAGGGGGCTATAACGACACAGTTACAAATTGTGGACGTTCTCTGCCCAAGAACTGCCCCCGCTGAGCTGCTAGCTGGTTTTCATGATCGCTGGCTTTTCGCTGGGCTCCCGGGGAGGGCAGCTGCGATTTGGCTGCTGCACAGCCCAGGGCGTCACCAGGGACGCAGTTCCTATTTGGAAAAGTACGGGGTGTCAGAGAGACCGAGCTCACAAACGCATATTAAAACCCATTGAAATAAGCCAATCAATAAAAGAGAAACACCACATGACCTCACTCATTTGTGGATAATAAAGAGCATTATAAACTGATGAACCAAAAGATAGATATAGAGACAGTAAAGCAACAAGCAGATTGTCAAATTACAGCGGGGAGGGGAGGAGGATCTGGGGGAGATAATAGATCAACCGAAGGACTTGTATACATGCATATAAGTACAACCAATGGACATAAAACTATGGGGAGGGAGGGGATATGGGGGAGGGAGGGAGGGGGGCAAAAAAAAAAATCATTAAAATATGTAAATAAATAAATAAATAAATTAAAAAAAAAAAAAAAAAAAAACCCATTGGTTACCCACACAATGACACCCCCCTCCCCTCCAGGCGCAGCGCCGGGCCGCTGAGTGGGAACCGAGGGCTGTGCGGTGGAGGTGGTGCAGGAAGGCCTGGTGCCCCGTGACCTACTCCCAGGCGTGCTGACCTCCTCGGCCAAGGGTGAGGGCTTCCTTACGAAGTAGACACACAGAGTTCCAGGGACTTGCTCTGAGTGGCACCATCGGGGCCAGAACCCAAGGCCTTTGTCTCTACAACAGCCAGTCTACTTCCTACCCCCGCCCAGGGAGTTAGAAATGGGGAGGACTCTTTGGAGCCCACCCCGTGGCTCGGCTGAGGGAGTAGCTCCTGCTTCTGTAGCAAGTCTGACAGGCCCAGACGGCATCTTGGTTTTCTTGGTGAGAATCCCTTGGTAAGAACCACTGCTGGTGGTGACAGAATCCCCTGCTGCCCACAGGCCTGGACTTACTTTGGCTTCTTAAAATTTTTACGGTGGCTTGTTCCACCTCAACCACCAGCCTGGCTACAGCCTTCCTCCCCTCTGCCCAAGGCTGTGATCAGGGCCATCGGCAGCCAGCGGAAATGGAGTCCTGGGATCAGACTGGGGAGAGAGCATCAGGGCCACAGGTTGGGGTGGGAACTCACCAGGGGCTCCTGACTCCAGTGTGAAGGCTGGAGCTGGAGCCAGTGGGCGAATGTGCCAGGTGGGCCAGGCGATGACATGGAGAACCTAAGTTTCTTCTAAAGGGGCACCGAGCTCAGCGCCAGCTGACGCTTGCCAGGCTTCCCATGGGGCCCAGAGCTGCCAGGTCCAAGATGTTTTCCCAAGAGAATCTAGGAATCTAGGATTTCATGTCAATTCTCCTTATTCTGTTGTTAAATGTCAACGACTCATTTAAATATGTTTAAGCCTCTGTGTGTCAAAACCAAACCAAACCAGACAACTCCATAAATCTCCTTCGCAGCCTCCCCTTTGTGATGGAAGCACAGATTATTTGTAGGAGAAAGGCGCTGGGACATGGAGGGGGGTGAGAAGCATCTTTATTATCAGCAGGGGCTGCATCTTCTCCACGTTTGTGAGAGGGACAAAGACAGAGGATTCCCAAACCGTGGGAGCCGGGGTAGATACAAACTTCCAAACGCTCACTTGGAGGCAGGATCTGGCCTTTCCCACGCCCCTCCCCTGGTGGGTGAGGCCCTCCTTTGTGTAAAGCCTTCCCACGGCACCCACAGGCTGCAGGCTGGGGGCTGTAGGGAGACTCCTGTCACCAGCTAAGGCCACACCCTCCCCTCCTCTCCAGGGCAGCATGCTGGGGTCTAAATAAGTGAAGATGCTAAACAGACACATGGCCTTCCAATTAGTTTTTTCAAAGTAAAGTCATCACAAGCGTTGGTATTTTACCTGCTATTCGTTAGTGAGGATTCATTTGTGACACAATTCACAAATTTTAGGCCAACATGGTTAAGGGATGTTCTAAAAAACAAAAACAAATAGGACAGACTGCCGAGCTTCCCAGAGAGACCAGAATGCTCTTCCTCTGGTGTTTCCAGCCATCATGTGATGGGCTGGGTAGACTCCTCTGGCTCACCCAGTCGCCTTGAGGGCATCAGTTACAGGGGTCTCAGGAATGTCATCAGGGACACTTGGACTTCTGAGAAGAGGTGAGAGCGATAAAAGACCACGTTTCCAAAGCAACCAGAGCGTTTCTAACACACACACTCTCTCACCTCCCTCACGGGCAGCTGGGAGCCCCCACCGGAACTGGTGTTTGGATGGTGTCCGTCAAGTCCCGCCCAGCAGCGTCAGCCAAGACACAAAGGACCCCATGTTCTCCGTGTCCTTTGCTCCAGGAATTGACCCTGAAGATGCAGAAGCAAAACACCGGAGCTTTCCCTGTTACCTCCCAATTTAGGATGACAGTCTGCTCCCTTCACTGCATCTGATCGTGGAAACTCACAGGGTGCGAATAGGAACCAGATCAGGGGAGAAAGGGGCAGGTTGGCGGCCGACAAGCTGACATGGTGTGTCCTCTGGGGAAAGGTGTCTGATCGAAAAGGAGGACTGTGACAAAATGAGAGCAGCAACAAGTCTATTTTTTCTAGGTCGCGTAGGGAACCATCCTAACCTATTTACAAGTGGTCTCCAGGGGGATAGCTTTAAATAGCCATCTTGTCGCCATCCTTTTCCTCGTCTTCCAGGATCACGTTGGGTCTCTCCTCCCTCAGCAAAGTCACATCTGCAAAACAAAGCATAGGCCTGCAGTTAGGTGCCTCCAATCAAAGTATCACACAGGACCCAGTCCACAAGGGCACGGCGACCTGAAACCTCTCAGCGCCTGCACAGCTAACGGCGCCAACCCAGAGAGAGGGAGCGGGGTGGCCCTATTTGGCATCCCCAGAGGAGCTGTGGCTCAATGAGGACACCACGCTGGTTACAAGGGGGTCGGAGGCAACCGCCACCCTCTTCTCTACATTCTCTGTGCATGCTTGTGGCCTTGTACAGCAGGAAGCATACGACTTTTGGAGTCCAGGTCACTTGGATTCTCATTCTGCCGTTCAACCTGTGTTGGGCCAGTCAACACCTTCATACCTCAATGTTTTCTTATGGAAACAAGGACAGGGGGACTTATGTAAAGGGTTGTTCCCACAATTAATTAGGAAGCAGGGACCAATGCTCAGCACTGCGCCACACCTGTGAGCAGTGGAAAGCCTGCTTTCCCTCTCCCTTCACTGTTGGACGGTTTATTTTCCTTTTGTAAAGAACTGGTAAGCCTGACGAAGTCAGCCTTACATGCATCTTCCTAACACCCAGGTGAAATAGTGAGTTTAGTCAGCACTAGTCCATTGTAAGTTACCATAGCTCAGAGCACAATGAGAAAATACGGAATGAGTCGTGAGTTCTTCAGACAGCGATTTGACTCCAGGATGAAAACGCTGCTCTTTGTTGCAAGGTGATTCTTTTTCTTCTTTGGGGGGATTGAAATAACTTTTATGAAATTTTAGGGATGCTAGATGGTTTCTTTCTCAGCATCCTTACTAGGCAAAATGCAAGGCGGCTATCCCTCCCTCTAGTGGGCTCCGCAATATTTTGTTTTAAAATTGTGACAGTCTGAAGCCCGAACAACAATTTTTTAGACTCATCAGCCTAGAAAAGCCAGTCTGAGGAGGTCTGGGTGGTTGTGCTCATCCTGTGGATTGTAAAGGTGGGGTCATATGAATGAAAACACCAAGGAAGCGGTGACTCAAGGTCAGCCCTCTATGGTGCCCCCAGCCAGATTGTTCTGTTTCCCATCGATGCCTGGCACCCCCCTTCCCCTCCTCCTCATCATCAGAGACCTTTCAGTTCAGGAAGCATTTCATAAAGATCTAAACTTCAGGGAGGAAAGCTGGGCACCACAAGAGGCCTTTTGACAACCCTGGAATCCATTCAACAGCAGCAAATTAATGAAGATTGTGTGTTGATCTTAATAGCTACTCATTTGATTCCGTCCCTAGTTTGTTCATGTGGGCTCTTTACCAATTAGCTGATATTTATTGAAGAAGAAACCAATTTCAAGAGTGTAGCTGAAGCGAAATCTTTTGCATAAATCACCAATGAAACACGGGTGGAGAGATTTTCCTCCTGCACCAGCTGTGTGGAGTTTTAGGTTTGTGTTCAGAATGAAGGCTTGCTGGAGAACACAGAGGTGGCTATGCTGAGCCCGCAAACTTTTCATCTCGCCTTTCTTGATGTCGCTTGAAGCCAAATTTAATTCAAAAAGGGCAAGAGCCTTAAAAATCCCTGGCCAGTTCTCATGAATTCATCAAACAACTCACTGATGTAAATAAACTTAAATAACAGCTACAAAATAAGAACAATAGTCAAAGAGATGACAAAGTCTTGGTATTTGCACGTCCATGTCTAAATCAGAGCTAGTTCAGATTGTTATACTAACATAGCACAATGAACACTGCCCACAGGTAAGACAGACCTTGGTTATAACTTCCAGGGTTTGACTTTTAGCATAATTTGATCCATTCATCCATCATCTAATCATCCCATCATCAAGCCAATTAGTCACCCATGCATCAACTTCATCCACAGAAGACCTCAAAGTGGCTAAGTTACTTATATTCTCTCTCAGTTTATCTGTAAAGGAATATAATAATGACTTTATTACATTATTCAGTTGGTTTATAAAATTCCATTCTCAACTCGCCAACCCAGCTATCCATAACACACATACACACACACATACACACACACACACCACATAGCCTAATCATGAATATACATATCTTATCCCCCAACTTGCATATATAATTCCCAAAGGCAAGAGTGTATACACTGGACTGGCTGCTTTCTAGCCTGGGGTTGTGAACAATGTTAGCAAGATTTCTTGGCTTGATTTGATACATATTAAGACAGCTATCATTATATCTGCATTTCTCTCACTCTCTCTCTCATTTTGAGGATTTGGCCCATGTATCCAGGTGTCTTAGGAGAACCAGCCATTAGCTATAGGGTGCATGATCCTTGGAAGACAGGGAAAGAAGATACTTCAACTCTCTTCAAGGACACGCTGACATTTCTATTTCATTGGTGTGGTGCATTTGGCCAGTTCTGCTGAAGTATGAGTAATTCTCTGACCCTCCCCATCTCCATTTCAGCCCTGGGGGAGCTGCCGTGAGAGTAAACCTGAAAGGCAGCAGGAAATGTTGCTCCTGTCCAGAGCTCTCTGAGACACACAGATTGCCTGGCAGGACAAAGGTCATGCCCACGGCACCTCCAGATGGTGAGGCCCTTGACCTGTTCCCCCCGCTCCTGTGAACGGGCTGCACCAGCTCTTTTTACCTGCAAAGGGGGACATGTGCAGGGCAGGTGTGTCTTTTCTCCTTGGCTTCTTCTGCTCCAGGTCAGTGTTCTGAAGAGCTGGGCTCGTTTCGCTCTCTGGGTGTCTCTCTTGAACCTCATAACTTGTAATTAAATGTTCTGAAAGCACGCCTGCATAGTGAGGGAAATAGGGAGAGACAAGGTCAAATACAAGCATCTCAGAGCCCAGGTCGGTGCATCCATCTTTGCACATATACTTGGAGATGGCTGTGCCTATAGCTTTTCAAACTTCTTGTAATAAAAGCACTTTCTTTCTGAGAATTAGTATCTATTGAGGTGACACCAGAGAACATTTTCTATGAGGATGGTTTTATTTGTCTGATTTGAATGTGATATTACTGCCACCACCACACATCTGAAGAAAGTGAAGTAAGGGAACATGCCCCTGGTAATGTAGCCCACAGGTGTCCGAGCCAGGCCCAGAGCCCAAGTTCACCTGTCTCCTCCATCGAAGAGATGGGTTAGTCACTGTTCTGCAAGCCACGTGCTCCGCGCTTCAATGGCTGACTTAGTTCTCTACCTCCACCCACCTGCCTTCTCACCTCTCTTCATGGGAAGGTTTTCTCCATCATTTAGAAACTCTCTGAAAACAGCAGCCTCTGTAACCGTCCCACTTTCACTGCCCAGACTGAGCTCCTGGGTCCGCATGTAAGGACCGCCAGTGTGATGTTCCTTCTTACTTCGTAGTTCAACTTATCTGTGCTTTTGTTGTTCCCTCCCTCCCTCCCTCCCTCCCTCCCTCCCTCCCTCCCTCCCTTTCTTTGAGATTAAATTGGGGTGGGAGGTGGGGAGGGTAACATTGTTTTTTCCCAGACAACTCTGTGTTCCATTTGCTTTGTGTCCCTGTGAGTGGGCTGTGACTAGAGAGGACCTTAAATAAGTGGCCTGGAGGGAGGGAGGGAGATAGAGGAATAAGACAAAACAGAACACTTGGGAACAAGAAAGTATCACATGTCACATGCCAGGCTATCATAGGAACACCTCAGCTATTCCCAAGCCATTCACTTAGCTCCAGGGCACATAGCTGGGCTGCATTGCTCAGCCTCCCTGCGCTCAGGTGAGGCCTGTGACAGAAGGAAGTAACGGGAGCCTCTGCAGGTCTGCCTTCCACTCTGCCTTCCCAGCCTGATGGAGGCCGGTGTACAGGAGGCTGATGGAGGCCCATGTGCAGGAGGCTGATGGAGGCCCATGTGCAGGAGGCTGATGGAGGTCTGCATGAGGGAGGCTGATGGAGGCCCGTATGTGTGTGTGTGTGTGTGTGTGTGTGTGTGTGTGTGTGTGTGTGTATGTGTGTGACGCCGGAAGCTGTGTGCTGAGGATATGTCAACCTCCCCACAACGAGTCCCTGATGGACTGTTTGGAGCAGAGCTTGCCTCGCCCACCCCCAACTGCTATTATTGGTGAGAGAAAAAGGGACTTGTATTGTGCCACCCACTAATATTTTGGAATTTATCTGTTATAGCAACTGTGTGTATTATAACAAAGACAGATGCATGAATTGTACCAATGATTACAAAACTCCCAAATCTTTAAGAAAAACAAATTGCAGGACCCATGTGATCCAGCGACAAGCGGGTCCCCTTCACGGGGAGCGAGCGGACTCGTGGCCTTACCGGCTGTGAAAGGCGGGATGTGCGGCACGGGTGTGTCTTTCCTCCGTGGCTTTCTCTGGTCCACCTCGACGTCCAGGGCAGCCTGTGCGCTTCTCCCCTTTCTTGGCTTCTTTTTGAGCTCGCAGTCCTTAATGAACTGGTCAGAAAGGCCATCTGATTGTGGCAGAATGCAACGGGAGCAAAACAACATGACATGGGTGAGCGTCTGGTCACAAACTGCTTGGCTTCCAGTTCTACCTGATGGGAGGGCAGAAGCCATCGCTCTGCAAATAAAGTATTTCTTTCCTGTGGCCTTTTCTACAGGGAACCTTAGGAGCCTTGCACAAATGCATGTAGCCTAAAATATCGTTAGGCTAGATACAGACTGGGTTTCATTTACATTTCTGCTGGGAGCACGGGTTCTCTGGGCTAAATGCTCCTTCCCAATGTCCTTTGCTCAAGGCCAGCTTTCTCTGGAGACCCCAAGGGCCCCTAGGAGCCTCATGCTGCCTGGGGTCTTGTGGTGGGTGCTCAGCACCTCACCCACCCTCACTTCCATGGCAGCCTGGCCACGCTGGTCCTTCACACCGGGGCTTCACCGAGGCCTTTTCACTGCCCTGGCTTTCCACTACTACTATTTGCCCAAGAGCCTTCTCAGAGATGAAGGATTACAGGCTCTTTTGTAATTTTATTCTCAATCGCCTCTCTTCCCATAAGTGCATTGAATGCTGAGTAGGTGGAGAAGGACCAATCAGAGTTCAAATCCTGACTCTGATACTTGCTAGTTCTGAGAACTTGGGCCTTAATTTCTAGAAACTTTGATATTCTCTCGGCTTTTAAAGTGGGGATAATATTGGCCTGGCCAGCGAGGCTCAGTTGGTTAAGTGTCTCCCTGTGCACTGAAAGGTCGCTGGTTGGATTCTCGGCGAGGGCACATGCCCAGGTTGTGGGTTTGGTTTCTGGGGTGTATGGGAAGCAACTGACTGAGGTTTCTCTCTCACATTATGCTTCTCTATCTCTCCCTCTCCCTTCTTCTTGCTCTAAAATCAATATAAACATAAAAATAAAGTGGGGGGGGGGAATATTAAATTAGTGTGTACGAGAGAGAGAGAGAGAGAGAGAGAGAGAGAGAGAGAGAGAGAAAGAGATAAAGTTGATAATGTTGGTAAAACACTTGATATATTTGATATATTTTAGATGCTCAAAAAAATTTCACTCTGGCCATTGCTCAGCCTTAACACTTTCTGATAAGCTAAGAGAAAAGCCCCCCAATATTCCTAAATCCTTTCATACTGACCCAATACCGGGTGTCTGTTCTCATTTTCTGAATTTTTACCCATCATTTTTTTTTTTTTGCTCGTATGGCCCCTTTAAAAGATGATGTAGGTATTATTATTGTATATGTCTTCTTTGACCTATTTGATGACAAGTAGCTTGTATTTTATCCTTAGCAACAATGAATAAATATTTGTTGATTGTATGCTTGAATGAATAAACTCAAACACATTATGTATAAGGATCTATTCTGTTGGGATTCAAAGAAGCTACAAGGCAATAAAGCTATTTGTCTTCTCTGGAAACTCACTATTGCCCAGATAGGGTCTAGCTAGATCTACAACCATGAATGAATTTGGGAAAATTCAGAGATTAATGGAATCTTTTCAGCTTCCTCTCTCCCTCCCTCTTCCCTTTTCATGTCCTCCCTCTCTCTGTGTCTATCTTATTTTTCCTGTTTTATGAAAACATTCAGGTCAATTTCTTTCAAATATTGAAGATTAAATGCATCAAATATTTCCATTATAGTTTTGTGGATTTAGACAAAACTTGTGTCATTATTCATTTATTTATTCAACAAATGTTGATTAAGTTTCTATTGTATGACTAAAACAACAAGTAAGAAATAATCCTTGATATCAAGCTGCTTCTGGCCTATTAGGCCTTATATCTGGATGATCTTTTATCTCAGAAAACTTAATATATATAAGGAACCTATCTCCAGAAATATTTAATAACTATAATCATCAAAAGATCACAATATATAACCAAAAAGTAAACAGCATCATTCTTTTCAGGCAATTTAATAGTAATAACCATTTTCTTTCACCTTAAAAATTTAATTCTATAATTTCAATTTAATAAATATTAATTGAGATTCTACTATGTGTAAGGCACAGACTACATACTTTTATGTTTATTTATACCAGCAAAAGGAAGGGAGTTCAAATCATTCTAGTGCATGGGATGGACCAACACCTTTTCTGATTTGTCAATACCTGTGTTTACCAGTTGTTAAATATTCGTAGATGAGGAAACCAAGGTTTAGAAGGCCGAATAAAAGATTGAAGGTGCCGAAACTGGTTTGGCTCAGTGGATAGAGCGTTGGTCTGTGAACTGAAAGGTCCCAGGTTTGATTCCGGTCAAGGGCATGTACATTGGTTGCGAGCACATCCCTGGTAGGAGGTGTGTAGGAGGCAGCTGGTTGACGTTTCTCTCTCATCGATGTTTCTAGCTCTCTATCCCTCTCCCTTCCTCTCTGTAAAAAATCAATAAAATAAAAAAATAAAATAAAATAAAGAATTGAAGGTTACATGGCTGGTGGTAAGGGCATCAGGCTTAAATCCAGGCTCTTGGGACTATGAATCTTAATGCCTGGTTGAAAATACAATTTTAAAGATTTGTTACCACATGGACACTTAATCCTTTAACCTCCCCCCCCAACACACTATATATATATATTTATATATATATATATATATATATATATATATATATATATACCATAGACGTTTGTTGAATGAATGACTGAATGTTGCTCAGAATGGGTGCTGCCCAGCTGTGAGGTCTCTGGATATACAGACAGGACACAGACTAGTCATGGGGTCACCATTCAACCCCAGTACACATACCAAGACATTTGCTTCAACTTTTACTTTTAGTTCAATTACGCATTTCCCCATTTTTGGAGAATTCTGGAACATAAAATATCTTGATGGCGAATGGGGAAAGGGTGGCGGTGAGAGGAGCCATAACCAGGCGAGGCATAAACGAAGGCTATGAATATGCAAAAGGCCCATCCGTCAAAGTCTGAGTGTCTCATTTTTAGAAATGGGTAGAGGCAGAAATGTTTCTGGTATTTTCATTACAAAGGTTATGCGAAAAGTCAGGTCTGGAAAGGAAACAGATTGACAATAAAGCAGAACGGGGCTGTTTAGAATTCTGTCTGGATAGGCAAAGGGAGATATTGGAAATATTTTATTGGCACCCCACATGGGGTGTGTGCGAGCCAGGAAATACTGGAAACGAGCTACCCTGCCACTTTCCATCTATTGCCTCGAAATGCTCTGCCTGGAACGCTTTCAGGCCCCAAAAAAGATAACAATGCCTTTCCTCTCCTTTTTTGTTAGAAGTCTAATGAACCTCTCTCCAGTGCTTCAGCTAATATTTACATGGCAGGCCCCACGAACCCGTGGCTATTTGTCCATCTGGGTTGGCTGTCACCAGAAGGCACAAACTGTCAGGTTTTAGGGGGCCTCTCTCTGACTTGGCTGCAGACTAAATGGCAGAGACCCTTCCTTCTGACTTCACAACTGACATTCCTATTGAAGCACTTACCCAGGTGGCTGCAACGAGGGTCAAGCTTGTCCAGTCTGTCCTCCGAGAGGTCCAGTGGCTGCATTTGCTCAGTGGACATCATCAAAGGAGGGCAGGTGTGTGTGTCTCTTCCCCAGCACAACAGAAGTATAAGACACAAGTCCATTAATATGTCTTCTGTTCATTCATTCACTTGTTAAATAAGTATATCTATTGAGCGCTTACTATGTTCCCAACTCAATCCCATTTTTCAAATCTGCCTCTTCTACTTAGCTACTAGAAGCTCAAATGTGAAATTTAAGCTGCAATAAATCAATGCACGTGGATTTATGGGTAATTGGCATGTTTCAAATATTGAATATTTGTCCTCTCTCAGATGCACTGCGGGGTTTCAGAATGAACACTTGTCAAGTCTGAGTTAGAAATGAGTTAGCTGAGAGTTGCAGAAAGTATTGATTAAACCTTCCCTATTTTTTCTCTGTTGAATTCTGCAAAGCAAGATTGAGCCTACTTCACAGAAGGGGAAACTAAGGCTCAGATATTCTAATTAATTTATTTACTCACACATCTATTCAATAGCCATATCCAGACCCAAATTCACTCCTGTAGACTTCCACTAGACACTCCAGTCTCTTAAAAATAAAGTGGGTTTTTGGAGCCCTAACTGAACATATCTTCTGGGTTTGGACCATTACATTCTCTAACTAAAAAGTGATAAAACTTCCTTCTCAGCCATATTATAATGGTAATAGAGAGGTGGTAAGAAAAAAAAAATCTAGGTCTTGAAATAGATCTTTATTATTTTCTCCCCAGGGATTCCTGACATTAGAGCAAGTCTGTTTCCCCTCCCCACCCCACCTCCATCTTTCCTAAGCCACAAATCCATTGAACTTTCCAAAGCTATTAGTTGTAGACATTGCCCAGGAGAAGTGGAAATCCAGAGTGGACATGTGTCAGGACTGAATGAGAAATGCATTAGTTGAGATTTACAGGAAATCCTCATTAGAGTATACCTAGATTCTGTTTCTTGAATTTCTTTCAGACAACTCATTACTCATGTCCTACCATAGTAAGAATAGTTGGAGAGGAGTAAGATTAAAATTATCCACTGGTCCTCTTGATATTCCTAGACCCTCGGTATGCAGGGGAACGCATGCACATAGCTCATAGAATGAGTTCAACTCCATTGTCTTAGGAGGAATAAGCCAGTTTTCTATGGGAGGCTGGAGGGGCTCTCCCCCTACAGGCTGAGATCATTGCTTAGCAGATGGAGCCATTAAGGGATTACTCGAGCCTGGCTTTTAGAGTCACTCTGAGCAGACTGATTGTACCAAGTGACCTCAGTGGAGATCAATTTATACCATCGTCTTTAGTGTTTGTACACAGACTTCCTAGTCCCTGAGACATAGGAAGCATGTTGTTAAGCTGGGTGGCCAGCCCCCACCTGCTTGAGTGTAGAGGAAAGCTATGAGGCCACTTTTCAGAATGAATGGGCTTGGTGTTGAGGTCTAGAGGTAAAGTTATAGCTTCAAATATGGCCTGTGCATCTGCGTAACCAATCTTTCTCTTCTTTGGGCAGAAAGATGTTAGCCCTGTCATAGACTTTGTGCTGAAAATCACCCCATGGAGAGAACCTGGACAAAATATTCATTCTTCAGAAGAGGTAAAAGATGAGCTTCCATTAGTTACACAGTTTGAGTCAGAGTCATCATTCGAAGTCAGGACTCATACCTTCCACACTAGGTGCTACCTGACAATAATACCCCTCCTTCTCTGCAACCCAAAGTAAGCTGTTCTTTGTAGTTAGATCATAAGACTGCTTTTATGTGCCTCGTAGATGGTTATTTAATTGAAACCTGAGCTTTTGGGTAGATCTAGATTATATCTCAGCTCTTGAACTAAAAAGCCAAATGACTTTGATAGAATATCTAAACTTTAATCATGTAAAGAGGGTAAGTGGAGTCAAAGAGCAATAGCATCATGTATGCCCTTCCTCCCTACAAGCTATTGCTGCTATGAGAGGATTTTCAAAGCCTATTACCTGTGTAGTATGCTGACTGGCACTCAGGGACATAGTTGCCCTTGTGCTCCATCCCCATTCTTACCCTCAGTTTTCTTTTCTGCAAAAAAGAGATAATAGTGCCTGTCTTATAGAGCTATTCTGAAGATGAACTAGGACAATTTCATGCTTTGCATATTGTAGCACGTTGGTAAGTAACATTTGCCTATACCCAACTAAAATAGCCAGCTACTGAAGACCAGGTGAGTACCTAAAAAATTCTATGAACTTATTGAGTCTTCCAGTTTCAAGTAGATGCTGAACCATGAGACCACAGCCTTCACCTGAGCAAAATGGTTAATTGTTGTACTGAACTTGAGAGAGGTCAGCCCTTGGGGGATAAACTGTACAAATATCAGAAGTCCCTATTCAAGGTGAGGGTGTCCAGGGATTAGTCACACATGGGACACCTGCTTCCTTCCAGGATAGCACCTGGTGTCTAGGGGGAAACAACACTATTTTAAATCAGTGGAACTGAAAGAATGATGAGGGTGAACTGGCAAGCCTTTGCTGGTTAGGAGCCTGATAGATCTGAGATTTTCCCATTATGGATAATACCCCCTTGCTGGGCAGGGACCTGGTTTGCTCATGGGAGTAGAAGACACTTTTATTATGGATGATGTCATTATGGTCTTCTTGGCAAAAAGAAAACCCTTCACATGAAGGCAAGAACAAATAAAGGGAGAAGAGAGATACTTGGAAGTCAGCATCACCTTGTTAATAACCATCATTTTACCTGCCTGTGGAAGGTTAGGATGAGATGACCCCTCTCCCCCGCCACACTCCATGTGCATCCTCATGGGGAGGGTGTTCTGTGGGACTGGGCCACTGTAGGACATGAACTAGTCTAATTCTTAAACTGAGAAAAGAAATGTCTCAACTTCCTGTCCCTGGTCTGCGTGCATTCCTCTCTATCATCTCAACCTCAAGCATCAGCGAGGGGACGTTGGTGTCATCATGCTGCCCTGAGAAGGTGTCATCACCTCCCCTGCAGCTCGCTGTAACTTGGGATCTTCCTGAAGCACCAGCTCCTTTCAGACCTGCATACCTGCTCCCCTGGGTCTTCAGGTTCCACCCAAAGGGCTGGGCCTTAAGATTGGGGGATTTCATAGCTGTTCTCTAGTACAAAGGTTTGTGGCCCTTTAACATTGTCTTGTGACTTATTGATTCAGTGTGGTCGCTGGATGTTAACATTCACAGAGCGATGACTTGGACTGCCACTGTGCTTGTCAATATCAGCCCGCCCTCCCGCATCTGAAAAGCCAGGGCCCATGTGCTGTGGACATCCGGAAACTGGTATTATGTAACACACCGGAGGGTCTCAGCAAGCACCACAATCACATGCATTACTTCTGCAGCAAAAATATGAATATTTTCATTAAATGGTATAGCTGAAGAGCATGAAAGAATTTGTATTCTTGCAGGTCAGGTTTTCCTACTAATTGCATTTATGTTGAACTGAACAACAACAAAAAGCTTTTGGTTTTCAAAGCTTTATCAGATTTTTCAGTGAGAAAATAAATAATTCTGGGTCTGGATTATTTTGTCTAAGGCGGCGTTTGAGAGCATGCGGGTGAAATGGTGTAGCATGTACCAGAGACCAAGTGACATCATTTCCAGGGGTGGAGGGAGTTTTCAGGATCCTGATGCTAAACTCTTGCAACTTCCTCTTGCTAATTCTTAATACTTGAGAAAAACACCCTTTTCTTCCCACAGAAAGACACTTGTGAAGCAAGTATCACGAAGAGAAGAGACATTAACTGTTGCACAGAGAATGGTTATTAATTACATAGGTCGCTTTCTCTTTTGAGAAAGGAATAAGAGATCCAGGGTCTTGGGTTCCAGTGAGGGACCCACCCACAAAGTTTTAGGATAGACACCCAGAGCAGCCAGCCGAGCTGAGGACACATGTCGGGGAGTCTGCCTCCACCAGCTCAGAGCTGGTTACTACTTCAGGAAGACAGAGGTGCTATTTCTGCAGCTAAAAAAGATTGGTCAGTCAGTTGGAGGTCAGAAGCTAGTCTGGGCATTTTGTCTTTTCTCTTAGCATCGAGCAGATTCCTCAGTTGGGTGTTAGAATACATCATTTAACCCATGGACAGGAAAGTCCTCACTGATGGCAAGCATTTGGTGTTGGACGGTGAGATAAGGTGAAAGCAAACGTTGGGTTACTTGTGCAATTCTCTAGCTGGGTGTACTTGGGAAAGTTCTACGTACTCCTGGAAACTTGGTTTCTACATCTGTAAAACGGGCAAGATAGTGGCCCTGCTCCAGGGTTGGAGTATTAGCAGCACAATGTGTGGAAAGCTCCCAGCCCAGACCCCAGCACGCACACTAGCACTTTAAGAAATGTGAGCTGCCCTCTTTGCTCTTTCAATCTCCCCTTGTGATTACAACAGGTATGTTTAAATGGAACGAGTGGACTCATCTCATCCCATCTCTGGCCTGTCGGAGGCTAATGACACAATGCAAGGTACCACCACCTGCAAGGTCTCAGGGACGTGATGATACCGATGCTCAGGAAGGAGCGAGCAGAAGGAGGGAGTGGACACCCCGCTTAGCTGAAGGGCATTCTTAAGAACTTACCGAGTCCTCAGGCCTGGATTGACTTAAAGGCATAAAAAGTGACAAGGTAATGTCCACAGCCCAACGTGGAGTGGAGTCCGGTGAAAGGACCCTCATGCCATGTAAAATTCATATCATTTGTCCTATCTCTTTTTAACCTGAAGATTGAATATGCGAAGAGTACCGCATATTAAAATCAGTTTGCTCATGGAGAAGACCTAAATTTGCAGTATTCCTGGAGGGCGACTCCTCCGTGAAGTGGGGCACAGCGAGGATTTTTGACAAGCACACGCTCCCCTGCCTTGAACGATCAGTCTCCCCACGCTGCTGTGCGAACCTGCAGCCACACGGGTGTTTTGGAAACTTAGCAATTTAAATCGCAAGGACCCTGGTTCTCACAGATCTCAGGACTCCACCGCCCTTGAAAATGATAGGAAAGTGGTGACTTTTCTGATCCCCACTCAGTCCCAGCTTAGCCTTGCTTCAGAAAGCACACACACCCCTCTCCTCACAACCTGGCCATCCGGTTTCTAGCCTTCTTTGCCCCAGCAACAACAAAGAAACCAGGAACTTAGGGCAACTTGTCTTTCTCCCCATAAAGTTCTTCGGAAGGCAAATGCAGAGCGAATGCAGCGCACTTACCTGTCAGGCACAGGGATGCGAAGTGCAGAGCTGGGGAAGGCGTGCTTCCTCCCAACGCTGGGCCACCTCTAGCTGTGGCTCCTCCTGCAGTGGCTGCTGCTGCCCAGCTCCTCTTATCAAGGGACCAGCTGCCGCTGTTGCCATGGGGATGCTCCCTTTCTCAGGCGCAGGGCAAGGGGGATGGAGCGGGAGAGGACTAATCTCACAGCCTTGGTTCCCAACGGAAATAACTGCCCATTACAAACACACATCACTCACAGTTGTGCTGGGAGTATGTCGTGTGCAAGGCCGGTCCTTTCATCCCTGGGACAGCCCTGCACCGCAGGTTTTCTTTGCAAATATGGAAACTGAGGCACAGAGAGGTTAGTGGCTAGTCCCGAAGGCACACAAGCTCATTCTCACCCTCACGTGGACCTGCGTTTAGCTTCAGAGTACTTTCACTCACACACTGCTGCCTGGGAAAGGAGTATCGTGGAGAAGGAAGATAGTAGCAACCGCTGACATTAACTTAAGGCTTCCCAGGTGTTGGGCATTCTTTACCACGGGGGCTCATTGAATCCTCACCACAGCCTGTGAGATTAGCTGCTGCCTTCATCCCCATTTCTCTGATGAGGAAGCTGGGGCATGGAGCTCATCAACCCTCTGCCCAAGGTCTCCCCACTAGTAAATGGAAGGGCTAGAGTTGGACCTGGGCAAGCCAATGCTAGCATGCATGCCCAGAACCACTTTGCAGTCCTGTTCACCAAAGAGGGTGTTTCAGAGAGAAATCACCAGCAAAGAAAGCAGCCCTCACCGTAAGGGCCGGGCCGGGAAGCCCAGGAATAATGTGCTCCTTCAAAGGAATGATCCCAAATGCTCCAACACAAGGAATGCTCTCCAGGAAAGGCCGAAGGGTGTTTAAGCAAGGCTGGGGGCGAGCCCTGCCCTCTGATGGAGAGGAAGGTTGTGCTTGCGGTAAACTCACTAGAGGACGCATCCCTGTGCTGATCGGAAGCTCAGCAGCTTCTAGTCACTAGCCTGGGCCTCGAAGAGCAGGGTGATGAGTCCCAGAGGTCAGCAGGCATCAGCACAGACGGAAGGGCTTGGGACACCTGAGTGCAGCCAAGAGGCCACCCACCAATGACGTCCCCTGCCTTCCTTTCCTTCCGGAGGCTGCTCATAGGGCAGAGCCTGAGACTGCCCTCAGGGGCTTCAAAGACCTCTAATCCCTGCTATTGAATAACCAGTGCCTCCTCTCCATTTGCCAGCATCCCAAATAATAGGGCTGGGCCCTAATACAATCACCTGAAGTTGGCTTATGGGGTTAGAATTTCTGCAGAGGCCATGGTAACCCATCAGTAGGCAGGGGCTGCCTTGTTGGCTCCAGTTTGTCTTGGTCCTTAGTGGACCCCTGAAGAGAGATGGAGGCTGCCACAAGGTAATGCTCCTGGCTAAGACAGGACGGAGACCCCAGGTGCGGAGGGCCAGTGCCCGGAATCAGCTCTGTTTCTGCCTGCTCCTCTCTTCTCATCAACAGCCTGGCTGGCCAGTGGCTTAACAGTACATTCATTTCCCAACAGGAGTGGAAAATATACACTTTCTTCCTAAACTCTTCAATTCTTCTTAAATTAAGCCTTTTCTGAGATAACTGTAGAGTCACATGCAGTTGTAAGAAATAATAAAGAGCTCTCCCGTGCCCTTTAAGCAACGGCACCATCTTGCAAAACTATAGTACAATATCTCCATCAGAGATAAAACAGCACCATTACAACATCCCTCACGTCAGCCTTGTATAGTCACCCCCACCCTCTCCCTCCGTCACCTCCCTTTCTGTGCCCCTCCCACTCCTTAACCCCTGGCAGCCACTTATCTGTTTTCCATTTCTATATGTTTATCATTTCAAAAGTGTTATATAAAAGGAAGCATACAGATGTATCCTTTCGGATTTGGCCCCCGGCCCCCCACCCCCCTCCACTCAGTATTATTCCTGGGGATTTATCCGATTTATTTCATGTGCTAACAATGTGTTTCTTTTTGTTGCTGAGTAGTATTCTGTGGTCTGTACCAAAGTCTCACCACCCGCCTGTTATAGGACACCCGATTGTCCCTAGTGTTTGGTGATGACAAATAAAGCTGCTATGAAAATTCATGTACAGGCTTTTGTGTAAATGTGAGCATTCATTTCCCTGGATAACTGCCCCAGAGTGCAATTGCTGGCTCTCAGGGCACTGGCATGTTTAATTGTATAAGAAACTGCCCAACAGAGGCCCAGGGTGGCTCCACGCTTTCTGTTTCCACGAGCTTTTTCTGGAAGATCCAGCTTCTCCACCTGTTTGCCAGCAGTTGTGTTGTTACAGTTTTTGTGAGTCATTCTCATTGGTGTGCGGTGATCTCTCGCTGCGGGGTTAGTTGCCTTCCCCTGTTGACAGATGACGTTGAACGTGCTTGTTTGTTTGCCATGTGTATGCGCCTTCGGTGAAAGGTCTGTCTCTTCATGTCTTCCACCCATTTTTCTGATTGGATTGTTTCTTTCGCTGTTGAGTTTTCAAATTTCTTTAGATATTCTAGACACTAGTCCTTTATCAGAAATATGTTTGCAAATGTTCTCTCCCAGTTTATAGCTTAACTTTCCAAACTCTTAATAGAGCCTCTCATAGAGGAAAAATTTTAAATTTTTACCAGCCCCGCTTACTGTGAAATCATTTTTAAAGCATATAATGTTGAGATTCCTTCTGAGCTCCTCAGAGAAGCTGAACTGTGTGAGGAATTTTAAAATGCTCTTTTGTCACTTAATTTCCCAAGTTCAAAGGAAGAATTTTAAAGAGAGAAGAGTCTGAATTCCTTATTTCCCCTTTGAATAGAATTGTGTACACCTCCCAAGTTCAGGCTGTTGTCAGTGTTTTTTTTCAGGGTTTTCTATGCGTACTTTGATGGATTATGCCTCGCCCCCCTGCCAATCCCCCCCTCCCGCCCTTTCAGGCAGATGTAAACAGCAACTCGATGGCAGATGGTAATGTAAATCTATACCTCGGAGAGCTCTCAATAACAGCCACATGTGTGCCGCATGGAAGTCAGAGACCCCTGGCCTCCGGTGCTCCCAGCGTAAGTGCAAGGAGTCATGTGTCCATGGCATGATTTGTGGGACCATGAGCCCTCGGATGTGTGGCTGAATGAATGACTCCTGGCTGCACTGCAGATGGATGCCTAACGATAACTCGCTTTAAATGAATATGCTTTTATTTTAGTCTCCAATAGTCCATCTTAATGAATAAGAGTGATCACAGTGATGCACATTTCCAGACTATTTATTTTAGTCAACAGCCGGTTCAATGTGCACTTCAAATACCTGCCTTCTGAAATCAGTCCAAGGCAGTGTCTGTGTAGATGGGTGACGGGGCTCCAGCTCCTTGGAGAGAGGGGGGGAGAGAGAGAGAGAAGAAGAGAGGAGAGGAGAGGAGAGGAGAGGAGAGGAGAGGAGAGGAGAGGAGAGGAGAGGAGAGGAGAGGAGAGGAGAGGGAGAGCGAGCGAACACAGAAAACATTTGCAGGTGGTTCTATTCCAGAGACCTTGCTGGATCTCTTTGATTGCCTCCTGTCCTGAGAGAGAAGTAAGTGTTTCAGATCAGCATCTTCTGGTGAATAAGCGTCTATGGCTCTGGTTGGGCAGTTTGAACCACATTTTAGTTCTTCAAAACAGAAGACTATCTGAGTTCATCAGTACCAAATTCTGATATCTGTATTATCCAATTGAAATAAACCGATAGAACAAATTTAGTATTTCAGAAATTGTCAAATACTTAATAGGTACTTACTGAAATGAGGGGTAATATTATTAACTTACTTGGGGTTAGTGAAGATTGACATGCCATTATAGGAAATAATACAGAGAGATAGTCCCCTTCTATATTATGCCCAGTTTCCCCCAATAGTGACATTTTGTAAGATTATAGTATGACCAGATAGTGACATCGTTACATGTCAGTTGTCTTATTCCAGTCTCTCTCCTGGTGTGTGTGTGTGTGTGTGTGTGTGTGTGTGTGTGTGTATCTGAATGTAAGTTCCACACAATTTTATCCCTTGTGTAGGTTCATGTATCCACCACTACAGTCAAGATACTGATCACTTCCACCTTCATGAGGATCCCCCATGTTTTTTTTTTTAAATTATAATCACACCCTCTTTCCCTCCTCTTCTCTCTGCCCCATCTTAACCCCTGCTAACTACTAATCTGTCCTCTACTCATATAATGCTGTCATTTCCAGAATGTTATATGAATGGAATTATATACCATGTAACTTTTCTACTGGCTTTTTTCACTCAGCTTTATTCTCTGGAGAGTCACCCAGGTTGTTGCATTTATCAACAGGCAATTCTTTTTTATTGCTGAGAAGGACTCTACGGTATGGTGGTCCCTGTGCTGCTGGTCTCTGTTCATGCTCTTCTGTTCTCCTGAACACATCTGACCCACCATTTGCTCCCTCTTGAAAACCAAGCTGAGTTTATTCTGAGGAACATGCTTTCAGAGCTGGACATATGGCTATTGTATAAAAGTGTGATCACCACTCAGCAGGGCAGCAAGGGAGCTATGTGGCTACTCGTTGGTTACTAATCCAAAGCTTTGCTTGAATGTTAATTCCACCATGGCTTTTCTGATGCTCGATTAAGACAGTGCACTACAGACAAGAAGCATGCTGCCATGATGCTGTCCACGCAGTCCTCAGTCATCAGGGGCACCCTGTCCCTGGTGGCCTCTCACAGCCCATGAGGATAAACAGGCTGGCGGAGAGGAATGCACTGCGCTTTCCCATGCTTGCTTTCTTCCAGCTAAGCTGTTACAATTTCCCAAATCGGAGGCTTGCCTGGATTCTGAGAACTCGCCCCCAGAGAGGTGGCACATAAAGGAGCTGAGCCTAATCCCCACTGCATCACCAGAGCTTGTCACTGCTACTGCGAGAGTTCACCTAAGTAGTTGGAGAAAACCACGAGGGGACTACCAGATGGTAATAGTGGCAGCTTCCACACACTGTTTATGGGGGTTTCTAAACACAGAGGAAGCAAGCACATCTATTTTCCCAAAGGGCACACAGAATTCTCAGGTATATGCAATGCAGCTCAAAGCTTTCGCTGCTCAGAGGTAGTTAAATGAGGGGTTATTGTGTTTGTATTGCGCTACAGAAATATTAATAAGTTCATTAACCCTCTATGAGCACAAGAAAAAGTGTTGACTAAGGTTTTTAAGGTG